ATAATACCAAAACGTTTTACTCCTTCAATTTTCTGGGTTTGCTTTCTTTCTAATAATGCTTTTGATTCTTGATTTTAAAAGCCCTAAAATTAAAAAAACAACTAGGTCTGTTAGTACAAGTTAACAAAAAAATGTTTGGGTAAAAATACTTATTAAAATTAAAAATTAAAAAAAAAAAAGAAAATTTTGTACTATGCGGTGCGGGGCGGGGCGGGGCGGGTTGAAACCTTTGCGGGTTGAGGCAGAACCCGCCTCGCAACTGCCCCGCCCCGCCCCATTTCCATCTCTAGCTATCACTAGCAGTATTTATGGAATTTATTTTTGGAGATCAGTTCATGGCACACAAAAGCATCTGACCAAACCAACCAAAGGAATATTTGAATATTTTACTTTAGTTTGCAACCTGGCCAGGACCCTTTCTAGGTCACTTCAAACCTAACAAACATTCATCTGCTTTGAGAAGTGGTCTTTATGGACCCACATTTCCCCCAACTGAAGTAAAACAATTAAAAATATCATGCTAAGTAGTAACGAAAAGGACAGCCTGGTGCATATTAAGTACGGATGAAAATCATTTACCCTCCTCAACTTTGTGTTAAAAATCAAACTCCCCCCTTAACTTTGAACAATAATCATTCTCCCCCTTTATCCTACACAATATCTTTTTTGCCCTTGAATTTTTAATTTTCTCCTCAATTCAATACTTTTTTATTATATGATATTTTTTATTATGATTTTAGCTATAACTTAAATTGTAATACCTATTATAAATTGTAATTAGAGTTCATTAAAATTATAAGTAGAATGAGTAATTAGAGTCGATCAATTAAAATTATCTTATCTTTATGATTGTTATTTTAATGTAATGCATATTAAATATATATTTAAGCTATATTTTCTTAGCGACAGAGCTAGAAAATCATATAAGAGGATGAAAAATACCCCAACTTTTTTTAACTATTTTGGATTGAACTTTTGAGCTAAGATAACTTGGGGTTTTTTTTCAATCCTCTTATATGAAAAACTCAGATTGAACTTGTGAGCTAAGAAATTAATGAACTCTATTCTCTTAGCTCACAAATTTTAATCTCTTAGCTCACAAGTTCAATCCGAGTTTTTCATATAAGAGGATTGAAAAACACCCCAAGTTATCTTAGCTCACAAGTTCAATCTGAAATTAAAAAAAAATTGGGGTCCCTCTTGTATGAATTTCTAGCTTTGTCGCTAAGAAAATATAACTTAAATATATATTTAATATGCATTACATT